ATCCTGTGTCAGCGCTTGAGCCTTGGCAGAAGATAACATCAATATTGCGCAGGACCCCTTTCAGGCACTTGACCCTGATAATCCTTGGCTTCAGTCGGTCGTCTGAATAAACAGTAGCTGTTTCGTATTAATTTCTTGAAGCATTTGCAAGACGTGCCCAAACTATCGCATCTGTGACCTCTGAATGTGGAGAAGCAGCGGCTGCATACCACGGCTCTCTTTCATTTGAAAGGTTTATAATTGTTTATAATTGTTGCGGGTCAATAAGCATTATGTGGTGAGAGCATTCATTCTGCTTCAGCCAAAACTATGATTCGGTCAATTCCGACTCAGTAACGCGGAGTACGCATCGTATGCCTTGCAGGTACTGGAGCATGGAACCGTGGTTCGCTTAAATGGATCTCTTAGGTGGCCACGTGCAAAGGGACGGTGCGACACTGGGGAATAACCCCCGTGCAATAACTTCCATAGGTCTTACATTACCGCAGAATCATTTAAAGTAAGCAACCAAAAGTAATGCTTGAAAGTGTACATCATAAAAGCAAGCGCAGGATCTTACACTGGGCCAATATTTTCTTTCGGTCTCTTTCAAAGCAACTTCATAAAGCTCCAAAGATCAGTAAAATTCCTGATTTCAAACTAACATTCACTTTCAAAACTACTTATACTTTTGATGGACGCAATTATGGCGTCGGCACGGTACAGTAAACCCTTGGAAAAATTCATAACACCCTGAAAGAAATACACAGGTTATTTACCTGCATCTTTTCATTTCGTTATTTTTCTTGACCACGTCATCTTACGCATTCGATGTTCGCACACGCATAGTTACTTTGATGGTGGTAAAGGCTGACTTATTTTGCAGCTAGCGCGAATCAAATATAGTTATACGGCCATATGGTTGCTGTTTTGGCTTCAAAGGGATTAACAACAAGCAAATTCAATGCATCCCAATATATTCACTATTAACAGAATCGATGACAAGAAATTTTGGGAACAAAACCTGCCTTTCTTTATGCATATGAGAATGTTATCAAACCGTTCCAACATCAAAGGTACTGGTTGTATGTTTCCTGTGTTCAATAGCAGCAATATGGTTCAAGGATTTGTGCGCTGTGTTAACAGTTTCGATGAAAGAAGGAAGGTCACGTCAACAGCAAATAACCGAGTCAAGAAGTCCATTTCCTCAATGTGACTGTTTATCAACGACGGTTACATCGTAAAGAAAAACACTGAAACATACTTAAATTCCAGACTGAATGATTATGTTCCAGTAATAAAAAGCAAGCCTTGTGTGCACAACGAGTAAAAGAGCCAGAGCTTATTACAACACTGAAATATATCTTTGGGAAACTCAGTTTTCTAAATATCTCTATACAAGTGTATGCACTCCCAAGGTTTTACATATTTATACTCTTAGTTCATTCTGCAACTTTAAACTGCTAAAGTACCATGAAACTTTATAGCAGATCATATGATTTTACCTTTCTACAATCCTAACGCATCACTCGTCATCTGTGCCATGAAAGTGTTTCGATAAAGAAGGTGCACAATACACTCTTAATAAAGATACCCTTCGTAATTTGTTCTACAGTACGAACGCAAAATTACGCTATCAATAAAGTTCTCACAAGACTGC